ACTATGGATGTAACTCTCAATAATTTACATTCTCAGCAAGCCAATCTTTGTAAAAGATCTCCATATTGAAAGATGGGTTACAAACTATGCAACAACATTTCGAGTAAATGAAAATGGAAAGAGAACATGAGCGTACTAAAAGTGAAGAAGAACGTGCTAGAATGAAAGTAGAGCATATAAGATTTCAACAGTTGTATGATCGATTCGACACTTTTATCAATTTTGTGCAACAACAATTTTCAAGAACTAATTTAGGTAGCCCACCAACTCTGGTATTATATTTAGTAACTATTTATATTTTTTAATATAAAAAATAGCTTATTATTAAATGTTAAAATTTTATTACTTTATTCAATAGGTTCTTGAGCACGCTATGGCCAATGTGAAAAAATCCTTCATCAAATGGCATGTTCCAAATCTATACAGTCATCAATTTTATTCATTTTAAATTTTTGGTTAACGTACTAAAATAATTTGAATGTTATTGTATGTATTAAACTATATTACATGCATATTAAAACAAATTATGTATATAGATATTTAAATATTTATAATATTCAATTTATGAATTTAAGTTCATTTATATATATTATCATTTTTATTTAATTATAATAATAAAAATTAAAAAATATAAATATCCTAATTTAGCAATGTTTGTAGCAGAAAACACTATTAAATTTAGTGACATTTGTGTTAGCAAAAGTCATTAAGTTAATGGCGTTTTACAATGAAATACCATTATTTTTTTTGACACAGGAATAGCCAACACTTTTTACAAACACCATTAATATTTTAACAATGTTTGTAAACATCACTAAATGTGAAAAAAAATCATTAAAGATCTAATTCCCCGTAATAATATATACATACATTCATGCCATAGAATGTATATATACATGTATTCTTCAAATGTCAATGACATTACTTTATGTGAAGTGATTTTTTTTTTAAAGAAAAGAAAAGAAACTTTATTGATCAAAAGATAAAAGTAATACTTACACATAAAAAAAGAGTAATACAGTATATTGCAATCAAAAAGCAAAAATTAGAATGTTATAACTAAAATTTTCTTTATGAATTAAAAATATCAATTGACTTCTCAAATCTTATATAAATATATAAAAACCAAAACTTTTAACAAAAAAGAAAAAATATATAATGTAGATAATCTATTCTTTTAATATGTGAATGATCTTAAATAATTGCCATATGTCATGCATTAATTATTTTGCTTTGTTTTCATATAAATTTTATTAATTTAAAAGTTATTTATTTTGACTAAATTAGGTATATTTATTTTCATATAAATATCAAATATTATTACCTTTTATAATTATGCTGCAATTTAATAATCTTAGATCACTTTAAATAAATTCAATTCTTTTTTTTTTGTGCTAAAATTCAATTCTTAATTTTAAACATTAAATATGAACACTAGAAATAAGAAATATACTTTAAAAGTGTTGATTATTTGATATCCGTAATTTTAGTATTTAATTAAGAAATAATTTATGTAATGAATTTATAAGTCATATAATGCTAAGAATTCATAAAATAAAAGGCCTAATTAATTGCAAACATATTTTTTATATTTCTTTCTATATAAGTAGTAATTACAATCACACATATTTACCAACATAATTTACTATTTTAAAATGGATTCTCTAATAACCCATTATAATTGCACTACATAAATTACTCTCGATTAATCTTATATCTTATCTTATATAAATATATAAAAGCTAAAGCATTTAACAAAAAAGGAAAAAATCCAATGTGGATGATCTATTTTTTTGACGTGTGGATGGTCTCGAATATTTACATATGTGCGGCATTAATTATTTTAATTTATTTTCATATAAATTTTATTAATTTAAAAGATATTTATTTTGACTAATTTAGGTATATTTATTTTCTTATAAATATTGAATATTATTATCTTTTATAGTTATGTTACAATTCAATTATTTAAATCATTTTCAAATAAATTCAATTCTTAATTTTAAATACTAAACATGAACACTATAAATAAAAAATATACATTAAAAATATTGACTATTTGATATCTGTAATTTTAATATTTAATTAAGAAATAATTTATGTAATGATATATAAGTCATATAAAGATATTTTTTATATTTCTTTCTATATAAGTATTAATTACAATTACACATATTTACCAACATAATTTACTATTTTAAAATATATTCTCTAATAACCCATTATAATTACTATGCATAAATTACTCTCAATTAATTTATAAAAGGCTTTCTAATTCTTACTATAAATAGAAAATCATGTAAACTAAGAGTGTTAAAAGGTTACCATCCAAATATATCAATCTGGAATTAGGTAAATTTTTTTCATACAATTATATTAATTTTTTATGAAAATGAATTATTTTGGTTTTGATTTTTTTCATTGTTTTATTTTCGTCAAATTACATTATTCTTTTAATTTCTCAATTACTATTTATTATACTAACAACAATGCTAAATATTGATCAACAAGTTTTTTATTTTTTCGCTTTTGTGTTCATATGCTTTCATTTTATCACATTTGGTAGTTGGTATTGTTTCTCTTTTATTCACTCAATTTTTTACAAAAAAAAAAGTAGTTTTCATTAACATAAAAAAGCATGAGTCTAGAAATCAGGCTTGGAAGTGACCCTAACTAGGTATGTTGGTCACTAATCTTACACTCAATTTTAGTTATGTGGTGTGCTAAAAAATAAACAATTCTTTTAGTATGAATGAAATGACAAAATGCACAAAAAGAAATCAAATTCAACATATTAAAATTTTATATCCCATAATATGTATAATCTGCCTTTGTGATTTCATAAATAATTACTAATGAATCACTCTCCACTATGACAAAATTAAAATCATGATCATATTGATCATGGTCGCATTTAATAATATAAATGTTTTCATTTTGAATACAAAAGGGATCAAAATTGTCAAATTAACTACCATTTCTATTCAATTTTGTCTTGATTAATATTACAATTATATAACCTGCTTTTCTTTTTTAGATTAATTTTTATTTCTTTCTTGGTTTAATTAACTTGAATTGCATTTATTACTACTTTGTAGTTTTTAAAATGACATTGTCCAAGACTTGATCTATTGCTTAATTATCTTTTATTGATCTAATTTCTTTTTCATTAAAATAATACAAATATACAGTCAACCATAAACAAAAAAAATTGTTTTTGTGTACACTTCATGCTTTTATAGTTTCAAGACTTTTTTGAAAATTAAAATTATTAAATTTTGGTCATAATATGTTCTTTATATATACGAGGTAAAAAAATATACTTACCAAAAAAAGTTTTAAATAAAGTTGGGTTCATAACTTATTATTTTTGTAAACTTTACACTAATTATAATACTTAATACATATCGATCTTCATGTGAATATGGTAAATAATTTTATTACAAAATTTTCTTAAAAATTTATTTTAGTTACATATTGATCTTTAATATTTATTTTTTATTTATTTTACATCAAAATTTTTATTTTTATATAAAAATTATTAGTTATATTATAATTAATTTTTTTATATATAATTATATACTCGTGTATCGTACACACTTAAAACTAGTAGTATATTATATATAAAACCATAAAGAAGGCATGGAAGATAAGTTGACTAGCTTAATTTATTAAAATTGCGGTTGATAAATAATTTAAAATTTTAATTTTTAATGATTTAACCTTTTCTATTTGATACTTCAGTCTTTAAACAACTTAACTGAAAGATTTTCAATAAAAAATGTTTAAAATCTTAAGTAATTTAAAGTTATTTAATGAATGAATTCAATCATTTTATTTTAAAAAGTTTTATCCTTTAATTACTTTAATTTTATACTCTTTCGATTAATTTTTTTAACTTTAGCCGATATAAAGTACTTTAAAAAATCAACAAAATATTTATTCGGTACTTGGTTTTTAGTGAAGTGTCAAACTATTTTTAGATTAAAAATTCAATATTGAATTTTTTTCAATTTATTAATCAGCAGTGCCATTTTACTAATTTTTAAATGTGAAAAGCAACACCAAATGTACAATGTCAATCATCACTGAGTTTCTTGCTTTACCCCACCTATATGCAGAAAGAAGGCGTCCAAAAAAATTAAATTCCATGAAAATAATTACTAGTATAGAAGAAAAAAATTCCAAATAAAGAAAAAGAAGTGAGGTAATCAAGAATATGGAAACCCTAGAGGCAAAGAATTTAGTTTAGAGCAAAAAAGGATGAGTACCCAGTATCAGTACATGTGCAAAAGTTTGAAGTATGAACAGGGAAACACTACTTTTCTTCCATTTATTTTAGTTACAGTCTTTGACGAACGGATGAAGCTCAGATATTTTGGTTTTGTCAAAAAAAAAAAAAAAGTGGGACAGAAACCCTCATCGCGCATTCAACTCAACTCCATGGGCTGTCCAAATCTACTTGACAAGAATCGTGTATCTAACAAGGGTTTTTTATCATGGCGGACACAGATCAAAGCACGGAAAGAAAAAAAATAGTGAAAAAGGACAAAGAAAAGCGAGTTGTGAAACCAATGGTTGTCATCTCCAAACAGGTATCAGACCCGCACAAATTGCAGCTCACAGTGATTTCCAAGATCATAGGAAGCAATGAACCCCCCCCCCCCCCCCCAATCTCACTCTCTCGTCCTCTCTGTTAGGTTCTTAAGAAACAATTCAAACAAATGATCATCCTTCTCTCTCTCTCTCTCTCTCTCTCTCTCTCTCTCTCTCTCTCTCTCTCTTCACTTTTGATAATTAAAAGCAGGAAGATGATATGTAGGCATCTTATTAGAACAGTAGTTGCATTTAAATCATTCCAGGGATGGCAAGATTTTTTGGGTTTGATCGTGATCAGTCATGGATTGCAAAACAAAACAAAACAAATGCAATATTAGCAAACAAAGCTGCAGAAATAGAGACAGAGAGAGGGAGGGAAAGAAATTAAGAGAGAATCTTACGTATTGCTGCCAAATTCAGAGAGCTTGCCCCGGCTGGAGAAGATGATGAGAGCAACCTCAGCATCGCACAGCACTGAAAGCTCGAAGGCTTTCTTTTGTAAACCATTCCTTCTCTTGGAGAAAGTTACTTGGCGATTGATTTTGTTCTCAATTCTCTCCAACATCACTTTTCCTCTCCCCATTTGTGGGAAATAAAGCCAACAAAAAAAAAAAACTCCAAAAATTTTAACAATAAAATACTAGTAGTAGTGAAACAACGATGTTCTTACTTCCCTTCCTCTTGGGTTTATGGTTTTCGTTTGGTAATAGCGAGGAAAGGATACAGTGGTTGAAGCGTATACGTCTGTCACTTTTGACATTTTTTTATTCATTTTACCAAAAGTAAAGTTTTTTTTTTTTTTTTTGAATTTTTACTAACTGCAAGATTGGATGACTTTTGAATTGACCCATTTTCATGAAAACAAAAAATGCTCACAGTAAAATACATAGTTTCGGTTCTTTGTTTTTCTCCTCTTTTTAAAAAATGTTTTCAAAAAAAAATAATTTTAAAATTTTAAAATTATAAAAAAAAATATACTTAATCTTAATTATATATTTAAAATTAATTTTTATGACATAATTCTAAACAAAATATATTTAAAACTAATTTTTATTAGATATTATTATTTAGTTTACTAACAATATATAATATATATTAACAATACATTAAATATAAATTTAAATATATATAAAGATTTTTATCCTTTTCTACACAAATATACTCCTTCTTTATTGTATTTGGAAAACTAAAATCTAAACCTTAAAGTTTCGATCTCATCTCATGCTTTATCAGTTATGAAATCAATTCAATTCAATAACAAATACTTGCTATATATATGTTACACTCAAATATGCTACTATTAATTTCTAGGTCGTTATTTACCATGTTCTTAGAAAAATATAAATTAAGTGGGAAAAAATTAAAAACAATGAGTTTTTAATTTATGTTCCATTAAAGTGGAGAAACCAAACTGATACTCGGAGCTTTTTACATTCGCTTGCATATAGAATATAGTATTGTATAGCTACTTTTGATTTCCATTTTCACATGGATCTCGCTTTATCAAAGAGATTGGTTGTTTTTGTAGAATAAATTTAATAATTTGTATATTTTTATTCTATTTATATTATATTAAATATAAAAATTATTATATTAAATTCATATCCTATTTATCAAATATAAATACCTTTTTTAACTTTTATCAAACAATTTTTTATTAAAATAATAAATTATATTATTTTCATATCTATTTTTATACTTTTTTTCTCTTCCACTCTTAAGTCTCTCCAACTGAGTTTTTATTTTTTATAAATAAATCAAAACATCTTTAACTGACTGCATCTAGTGGGGCCGGTTTTTCTCTCTCTCTCTCTCTCTCTCTCTCTCTGCATAAGAGACATGAAATGCTACGTGTCGAATGTTGTACGTAGGATTTCATGATAATTGTCCTTTTGACATCTCATTGTACAGTGAACTTTGGGTCATAACTCATTACTTGTCACTTATTTAAACTTTTTGCTTTTTTCCCATGGATTTGAAGGCTTTCATGAGCTTGATACGTTTCGACAAGGCATTGGTTGGTATGAGAAAAACTCTCAGAAAAAAATCCAAACTTGTGGTTCCCACCAATGACAAAACGATATGTCGTCCTAGTTTTGGTGAGGTCGAACACAGCTGACAATAACAATGGTGGGAGAAAAGGAACAGTCTCTAATGTAGCCTAGCTAGCTCGATAGAGAGGACCATACCAGTCTCTTCACTCTGCTCTCATTATTAATTTTCGTTTTTTTTTTTCTTTCCTCGTTTCTTCGTAAAACAAAATCATTTGTTAGAATATTTATACCCAAAGTAAGTAATAAGATTATACTTATATTCTTCTAAAAGGAAGGTACATATACTTAACTGCTGCACTTTGAATTGAATACATGTACTTAAAAAAAATCACACATTATAATTTATAGTTTAGAAACGAAGGTTTCGAATTCCAATTCAAAAATCTAAATTTGTTTTAATACTAAGCTCGTAATTTTTTTTGAAGATGCCTTGCCTTACTAATAAGACAAGAAATAGACTTATAGGGGTACTAGGCTACAAGCCCCACATTGTTTCATACAATTTTTTTTTTTTACAGAAACACTCGTCATGCGCTTAAAATTTGAATTTAAAATTTATTTAATGTTAATTTTTATAAATATTTTATAAAATAAAATATCATGTTAGTATATTTAAAATAAGTTTATATTCACTATATTTTATTTTTTTAATATTTCAAAATTATTTTGTATTTTTTTAACATCTAAAATTTTTATTTTTTCATATTTTAAAATTATTTTTATTTTTACTTTTTGATATTAAAAACTATGAACTTTAATTTTATAAAAAAAATTTTAAATTTTAATATTAAGTACATTAAAGTTAAAATTTTTTTAAACTCTATAAAAATCAATATAAGATAAATATTTTGAGACGAAAGGAATAATAAAAAATGATATTACTATCCAAATATAGTAAAAATATAGACACAGACTTGTCGAAATTGAGGATGTTGAAATTATGCTTCAATTTCCAGCAATAGCACTTGCAATTTTGCTTGGATTATAATTTTTTATTTTTTATTTAAATTTTAATTTATTAAGAAAAAAATTATTTTAAATTTAATATTTAAAAATTATTTATTTTTATATAAAGTTACATAAAAAAATAATAATTTTCAACGCGATCGGTCAAGTTTACAATTTGTAACATGATAAATATTTACATTGTATTTTCTGCTTTACTTAAAACTTGTTTAAATATAGTAATGAAATTTTTATAAAATGTTTTTTATTTTTATTAACTTTGGTAAAAAATTATTAAAATTGAAAGTACAATGATAAAATTCAATTAAATTAAATCACAGAAAAAAAATTAAAAATTCGTCTATTATACAACGCCAAATGTGCCCTTTATCCCAAAATTTTTCAATATAAATTTCACCATAATTATAGCATTAGGCATATTGCTAAACTAAAATTAACTAATATAAATTAGTATAAACCCATTTAATGCAAAGTTTTTAGAATATTTTTCTCAAATTTTTAGTGATAAAAAATTAAAATAAAAAGATGAAATATATAATGAAACTGACCAAATAAAAAAAATCAAATAATTACCAGGAGTCATGAGATGGAAATTGGAAAGAGGATATATGTGATTCTTTATGAGACAAATTTTAATTAAACCGTAACCTTATGGTTGAAATATTAAACAATAATAGTAACATTTGCATTGGAGTGTTTCTTTGGATGATTGATAAATGATATAGAATAGACTGGTTCAAATCGTTTTGTTTCAAATAAATAAAAGTAGCAGTAACTTTTTAAAATTTTAATAATATTTAAATTGCATAGTTTTTTTAGACAAAATTTTACATAATTAAAAATTAATTATAAGTTTGAGAATAAAAGTACTCTAATTAATTAAAAGTTTCTCCTTTAAAAAATAATTAAAAGTTTCTGTCATATATGGATTTTTTGCCAGAAAATTTTTTGTCAAATATTACGTCAGCTTAAATTAAAAAAAATTCCAACATCTATAATTTTTTTATATTTTCAAACTACAGTCTTTTATAAAAAGAAAATTTATTTATATCCGCTTCAAACGAAAGATTCCTCCTGAAATACCAAAAAACAAAGGGGTGAATAATTGTTATTGTCTCAGTGGAAAATGACAAACTAATATTCCCACTCGTAATTTTTATTTGTCTGGGAAAATGAAGGGCCAAACATCCACAGGATTTTTGAGTGCTACCCGGCTTCTGATAGTCCTGAACAAGCGTGAAGGTTCAATTATGCTATTAACACCCCAGTGAGGCCAAGCCGCTGGGCGTTGGCCTTTCTTAAAATTTACTAGCTGCTAGCTGCTAGTAGCTAGGCGTGGGTTAGCTGTTGCCCTGACCCGCGGGCTAATTATCTCATTGCTTTTTTTCGGCTGCGACCCACACTTCCACTCCAATAGGGTAAATCAATTTAAGGCCAGATTTGGATTTCAATGTAGTCGCAGCAAGTACATCTTAGGATTTGAATATTTATATATTTATATAGTATAAAATATTTATATTTATATATTTAAATCATATTTTATATAAAAATTAAAAATTATAATTTGTATTGATAAAAAATATAAAATATATTTATTTGATTTTATTAAATTCATATATAATTATAATTAAAATTTTAAATAATATTACTATCATATTTTATTTTTATATTATATTAATATTATATTATTGTATCGTATTTTAAATTAATAATTTTAGTAACGAGACACGAAGGAAGGTTTCATTGTTTTGTTTGGATAGCAAATTTATAGTGAATCATTTTTAGATATACAATGAACTCTTAAATACTATTTGGTTTTTTTTTTTAATAATTATAGTAATGTAATTATTGAAATGCTTTTATTAGTAAAATGATTTTATTATTTGTGATTTGAAATTATTTTATTTGGTTAGTAATTATTAATTTTTAGAAATTAAAAATTATTTTATTTGATATTATTAAAAATCAAATATTATTTTCTTTAAAAGTAAAAAAATAATCATATATATTGTAATAATTACATAAATTAATAATTTTTATATTTTAAAGATAAAAATTTATAAGATATTTGTAATATTTTATCTATTTTATAATAAAATATAATTAAATTATTAAATTAATAAATATATTTATTAATAGGTAAATAAATTTTTATAATATAATTATGTAAAAAAATTTAAATTAAAAAATAAATTTAATCTATTAAATTCATAATAAAAGAAAAAAATTAAATTATATATAAAATATTAAACAATAAAAAATTACTTTTTTAAATTTGTTTTACTTTTAATTTTTATACTTAAAAGTTTTCATAATTTTTTGTATAAAATCATATTATTAAGTGTTATCATTTGATATAAAAATAATTCAATAATTTTTCAACAATTTTATTAATTTTATAAATATTAAATAATTTAAATTTTTTATTACATACAAATTTTAATCTAATATTCTTAATAGTAATTTTTTTATTCACTACAATTTATTTCATAACCGCTGACACATTTGCATCATAACACATCTCTTCATCATTGATTTTAATCTCACTATTATAATAATCAATATCACTTCTACCATTAATTTTAATATTACAAAAATCACTCTCATCCTCGATCCAAATGAACACTAAACATTCTTCTGTTT